AGTGCATTTGACTGACAGGAAATATAAAGTAAGAAAACACAACTGAACTGGAACAGAACCACAAGAAAGATGTTATTGAAAAAAAGATAAGTAAAGAAAAAAGACACAAGAAAATGATAGAAAACATAAAAAACAAACAAACATAAGAATAAAGAAATTAAGCTGATATGAAAATGTCAGAAATCGAAAAGTAATAACATAATATCACAATATGTGAGAAAACTTAGCACTGCAAATCGTAAACCAAAACCAACATCTACAAATAATGACAAGAGGATTATGTGAGCATAAATGAGGCAACTACTTCAAGCTATTTAAATTTTCACATACCCAGAAGTTCTGGGCAAGGAGGAGGAGTAGCAACAATCTTCCAGTCTGACTTACTGATTACTCCCAAAACAATTAATACCTACAACTCTTTTGAACATTTAACCCTTAATTTGCCTGATCCAAATTTCAAGGTAAGAAAACCTCTTCTTTTTGTAACTTTGTATCGTCCACTAGGTCCTTACTCTGAATTTTTAGATGAGTTTTCAGAGTTCCTTTCTGATTTGGTATTAAATACTGACAGGGTCATCATAGTGGGAGATTTTAACATCCATGCTGACATTGAAGGCGATAGCTTAAGAGCAGCCTTTAATGCTATCTTAGACACTATTGGCTTTGTTCAGAGTGTGAGTGGTCCCACGCATTCTCATCTTCATACTTTGGATCTTGTGCTGACATACGGCATAGAATGTGAAGAAATAACAGTATATCCTCACAGCCCTGTCCTCTCTAACCACTTTCTAATAACCTTCAGGATTACTTTAACAGAGTTCTTCTCCCCCAAAAGAAGGTTATATTTTAGTAGATCTTTATCAGATAGTGCAGTTATAAATTTTAAAGAATCTGCTTCACTTTCTCTCTCCTCTGTGTCGCTGAGCAGTGCTGCAGAGTGCAAAAGCATAGCTTATTCCCCTACACAGGTTGATGATTTTGTTGATGGGGTTGCCAGTTCTCTGCGTATTGCCTTAGACAACGCAGCTCCTTTGAAAATGAAAACCGTTAAAAATAGAAAGCTTGCTCCTTGGTTTAATGCAGAGCTGCGTAATTTGAAGCAAAATGCTAGGAAACTGGAGACAAAATATCGCTCCACAGGCCTGCGGGAGTCCTTCCTAGTCTGGAAAAAATGGTTTACTGCTGTATAAGAGGACCCTTTGTAAAGCAAGAGCAGCATACTTCTCCTCATTAATAGAGGAGAATAAGAATAATCCTAGATTTCTTTTTAATACAGTTGCCAAACTCACCCAGAGCCATAGCTCTGTTGAACCGTCCATTCCACCTGCTCTTAGCAGCAATGATTTTATGGGATTCTTTATAAATAAGATTGATCTTATTAAAAATAAGATCATAAGCACTCCTCTATCCGCGATTGTACCTAAGGTAGTCATGGAATCTGAACCGGGTTTAGACTGCTTTGATCCAGTTGAACTTTCTGAATTAGCAAAATTATTGTCTTCATCTAAGCCTTCAACTTGTATGTTAGATCCAGTTCCAACCAGGTTATTTAAGGAGGTATTCCCTTTGATCTCCTCCTCCATTTTAGATGTGATTAATCTATCTCTGTTACAGGGATATATACCTAAAGCTTTTAAGGTTGCTGTAATTAAACCTCTGCTTAAGAAACTGTCTCTTGACCCAGATGACTTGGTCAATTATAGACCTATATCTAATCTTCCTTTCTCATCCAAAATTCTTGAGAAAGTAGTTGCCAAACAAGTTTGCGATCACTTACACCATAATGAACTTTTTGAAGAGTTTCAGTCTGGCTTTAGAGCTCATCATAGCACTGAAACAGCTCTGGTGAAAGTCACTAATGATATTCTCATGGCCTCAGATAATGGACTTGTATCTGTGCTCATCCTGTTGGATCTTAGTGCTGCATTTGATACAGTTGACCATAATATTCTTTTAGAAAGACTTGAATATTTTGTTGGAATTAAAGGAACAGCACTAGACTGGTTTAAATCTTATCTATCTGATCGAATTCAGTTTGTTCATGTTAATGATAGATCTTCAACACGCTCAAAGGTTACCTGTGGAGTACCACAGGGATCAGTGCTAGGACCAATTCTCTTTACTTTATATATGCTCCCAATCGGTAGAGTTATTAGACAGCATGGGATTAATTTCCACTGTTATGCTGATGATATACAGCTATATCTGTCTATAAATCCAGATGAAGCTAACCCATTACATAGATTACAGGCATGTCTTGAAGACATAAAAACCTGGATGACTCTTAACTTTCTGCTTCTGAATGCAGACAAAACAGAAGTTATAGTCTTTGGACCAGAGTCTCTGAAAAAGAAACTGATTAGCCAGTCCCTTCATTTGGATGGGATTAAACTGATTTCAGATAATAAAGTAAAAAATCTTGGTGTTATTTTTGATCAGGACCTGTCATTTAAATCCCATATCAAAGAGGTTTCTAGAATTTCCTTCTTTCATCTGAGGAACATTGCAAAAATTAGAAATATCCTGTCCAGGGGTGATGCTGAGAAACTAGTCCATGCATTTGTTACTTCAAGGCTGGACTATTGTAATTCTTTACTATCAGGAAGTCCACAAACTGTAGTTAAAAGCCTTCTGCTGATCCAAAATGCTGCAGCCAGAGTTCTGATGAAAATTAAAAAGAGAGATCATATCTCTCCTATCCTGGCTTCTCTTCATTGGCTTCCTGTTAAATCAAGAATAGAATTTAAAATCCTCCTTCTCACATATAAAGCCTTAAATGGCCAAGCTCCATCTTATATCAGAGATCTGATTGTTCCTTATGTTCCTAACAGAGCACTTCGCTCTCAATCTGCAGGTTTACTAGTGGTTCCTAGAATTTCTAAAAGTAGAATGGGAGGCAGATCTTTTAGTTATCAGGCTCCTCTCCTGTGGAACCAACTACCAGTTTTAGTCCGTGAGGCAGACACCCTGTCTACTTTTAAGGCTAGGCTTAAAACTTTCATTTTTGATAAAGCTTATAGTTAGGGTGGCTCAGGTTATCCTGAGCTATCTCTATAGTTATGCTGCTATAGGCTTAGACTTCTGGAGGACATAGGGACCCCCATTTCATCATTCTGCTTCATTCTCTCTCTGTTCTCCTATTCTGCAGAATCTGTTAGTTCAATCTCTAACCTTCTGCTCTCTCTGCTTTTCCTCAGAGTAGCTTTGCCTCGTCTGTTCCTGTTTGGCTGTGACGTCATCCTGGAAAGAAACATCAGCTGTGCTGCTTCCATCAACACCCTTGTTTATAGATGTTGGAGATCGGCCTGTTTTCCAGTGTGGTCCTGTTTCTCTGACCGTGACTGAGTGGATGTGCTCTCTTCGTCCTCTGGCATGGGAGCTGCCTTGGAGCTTGTCTGCCTGGCTGTGTGTTTCCTGGACGGGGCCGCCTTTTACAGCTGCTTTTTGTATCTCTGCTTCTGTTTCGTTGAACCCCAGTCGGCCTCGGCAGATGGCCGCTCACACTGAGCCTGGTTCTGCTGGAGGTTTCTTCCTGTTAAAAGGGAGTTTTTCCTCTCCACTGTCGCTACAAGCATGCTTAGTGTGAGGGATTGTATTTGAGTCAATGAGTCAATGCAATCAACTGGTTTCCTTAGATAGAAAACTTTGTATCAATTTGACTGTATGATCTGGTTGAACTGTAAAGTGCCTTGAGATGACATGTGTTGTGAATTTGGCGCTATATAAATAAACTGAATTGAAATTGAATTAGATACGTTTTATTTTTAAGTTTCACCAGTAGATGTCTGAAAAGTATGGCCTTCATATTTATTCAGCTCTCCTCTGATGAATATCTTGAGGAACTCTTTTACTATACCTAAACCTCAAAACTTGAGGCATCACAGTTGGGTCTTAATCACTTCTGTGTATAGATACTAAAATCCTTCCCATTCCTTTTTTGCAAAAATAACTCCATCTCAGTCAGATTAGATGGAGAGTCTACCCAAAGATTTACAAGCTGTAAACGTGTAACGTGTGTGGATCTGTGCTTTGCAACCTTATGTTTAGGTTAGGATTCGGGGTTTAAAAACCCACATCCCAAACTCTGAAGATCTCACAAAGCACTGCATAGTCCAGGCATCCCCAATCTCGGTCCTCGAGGGCCGCTGTCCTGCAGGTTTTAGAGGTTTCCCTGCTTTAGCACAGCTGATTATAATGATTGCAGTAGACCAAAAGCCTGTTAATCAGCTTTCAATTAAAATCAGCTGTGCTGGAGCAAGGAAACCTCTAAAACCTGCAGGACAGCGGCCCTCGAGGACCGAGATTGGGGATGCCTGGCATAGTCCTTAACTTGAACATGGACAGAATATGACACCACTGTAAAGCTACTAAATCACAGCTGAAATTCTACGCTATAGGACTGACCGAGCAAAGTCAACGAGAAAGCGTCTTAAGATGAGACTGGGAAAGATGCAGAGATCCACAGCTGAGATTCTGTTGCAGTTAAAACTAAAAAAAAGCCATAAAGTTGGCCTTTAAGGACAGGTTGGGGTCAATTAGAAATACCCCCTAAAACATCTGGTTTTCAGTTGGCCTAAAGGTCTCATAAACAAGTGAAATAATCTACCCTGGTGTGATACGACCTCATGCCTTGTGCGTTTCACAGAACATTATGGTTAGAGTAACTAATGTATTTGCTATTTTCTTTAGCTATGTGTAGCACTAAGTTGATCATTTAAAAGAGGTTAACGTGAAAAAGTATTTATCATTTTCCTTTCACTTTGCATTTTGCAGTTGGAAATCACAAATACTGAAACTAAAAATAACAATTGAATCCCCATGTTTAGCAATAACAAGAATTTCTTTCACTAATTAGTTGCTGCTCTCTGACTTTTTTTCAGCAAGACCTTATTGTTCAGGGGATTTAATGTCACGCAGGTTGAAACCTGCTGTGCCATAAGTCAGATGAGAGGGAGCCAATTCTGCTTCCAGCTGCCTTAATAAAAACCTGCTGCCATGAAACGCTGAGGCGTTTTCTCTCTGTACCTATGACTAACATCAGCCTGGTTTTGTCTCCTGTGTTGCCTCTGACTAGCTTCGGCAATGTGTTAATGTTTCTTTTCAACATCACTTTGGCAGCTGCGATCATCTACCTGAACGTGTCTGTGTTTTTCTCCATTCTTCTGAGCAGGTCCCTGCGCAGCGAGAACCGCTTCATGTACATGCTGAGCACCTGCCTCAGCGACATCTGCACCGGCGTCTCTTATTACTACGTCGGTGCGCTAGATGTGAAAGATCATTACAGGTCCCCAACCCGAACGTTTTACATCGCGCCTACATTCCTGGGCCTGTCGTTCATGGCCATCCTGGCTGCACAGGCGGACCGGTACAATGCCATCAGTTCTCCCTTTAAATACTCCCAGCGCATGACCAGAAACAGAACCCTAGTTGTTATCGTAGCCTACTGGTTCTATGCGTTCTTCATCGTGGGTGTGCAGAACCTGGTCCCGGTAGGGATAGCCACCACGGTCACCAGTATTGGTACATTTATCGGAAATGTATTCGTTGTGGTTATAATGATAGGACTGAACATCAGGCTGTTCATCATCGCCACCTTCCAGCTGGGCAGAGAGCCGCCCTCTGAGGAGAGGGACAGCAAGCGCTCCTCGGTCTACCTCATACTGCTGGTGGCTATGTTTTTCCTGGTGGCCTGGATCCCCTTGTTTTGTCATATTATCGTCTGCCATTTCCTTGGTACGACCTGCTATTCATTTAGGAATGAAGGCACTGATCCCCTTCGGATTTTGCCCAGAGTCAACGCTGCGCTCACTCCTGTTCTCTACCTCAGAGGGTGCAAAGCGCTCAGAGTGGCGCTCTTTTCCACAGTGTGGAGACCCTGTTGTAGAAACAGGTGAGGTGCTGATAGTGTTTGATCATTTCACGCCTGTTTAGAGATGGGATTTATTAGCTGTAAGCAACATATTATCTCTTGTTTATATGTATTAGAAAATTATAGATTAGTACAGAATAGAAAAAATAGCCTATCTAATGAGAATAAAACAACGAAGTTTAGATAATAATAATAATAATAATAATAATAATAATAATAATAATAATAATAATAATAATAATAATAATAATAATAATATACTCCTTTCAGAACTATATTGAAATCCTTTCTAGCAGACAGTTCAGGACTTTCTGTTTTCTGGTGTTTTCATTGTTTGTTTTTTGTGTTGGCTGCATTGTAGGATGATCCAATCTCTTTTTCATTCTCTTTTTCTCTCCCTCTAAAGGTTGCTTCACCGACAGCTTGGTCCATCTAAGTATCCTGTTCCAGCCTAATTTAGCAGATGGATTTTTAGGTCAGCACTGTCTTCCACGTCTGTTTCTTTAGTACTCTTTAAACATTCTAATGGATATCTTAAGAATGTGTTCCAAAATGTTGTCCCAACTTTCATAAACATAGCTTGGCATAGATTACTCATAAACAGTTATCATATTAAATTTTAGATTAACTAGGACTTATATAAAATTGCTGATGAAAAATAAAACAAGAAAAAAAAGTGCAGGATTTCCATACTATGCAATTTCATTCTATAGGATCATATGCGTTTAGCTTTTACAGGTTAATCCAAAACATTTGCCTCTGTACATATCTATCCAGTCACAATTCCGTTTTTATACCTGTACTTTTTTTCTCTGTGTTCTGTTCAACTACTCTGACTGACACTGTTTCTCTCTATTAATAAAAAGCCACTTAATGTACTTTGTGACCCCTCCAAGAATCACATCTTGGTCTAGCAAGTAGATGGAGGTTTGGGGCAGCATTCCTTTGACATATTTCTCTTTATTTCAATTGCTTTCTTGGAAGTATTTTCAAAATATTTACTACATACACGGATCGACTGTATTTACAGTTAAAATCCCGGGTTTGTGTCATAAAACCTGAAGAATAGAGCTAAACAATAACCTGTAATCATATTTGAATTTAAATATTGAGTTGTGAAATGCTGCAGTTTGTTTTCATGTTTCGCTTTCTTCTACTTTATATTGGTGGTAAAAAGAGTGGTATTAAAGAGAACCTCCAATTTTCAATATGAGACAAAACAACCCACCAAAAAAAACACTAAAGGGCTTCTTTAATTAGAATTTTGCTAAATAGCATTTTTTTTATCTCAGTACTATATAACAAAAATAATTGCGACATAAATGTTCCTTTACAACCCAGGATGTGTCCAAATGTCAGCAGCTGACTTTCATTTTCATCAATATGTGATCTGTTTGAATCAAAAAAAAATTCTATTAGGATTCTGACTTTTGTCAAGTTTTAAGTAGCTCTCTTTGTCCTCGATTTTCTTTATTTCTAACTCAAGACAAATTAAATTAAAAAGTCAATATAGACAAATAGCAAAATATACATAATTCATTTAGAAAATAAATAATTTGGTCTCAATACTGAGCCCTGTGAATCTCCAATGGTTATTTTCTTATGTCCTAACTCTGTATAATTTTTTTATGGCCTAACTAAGACCTGTTTAGTTAATTGATTCTTCTCCAGTGGCTTATAACCCAAATCAATCACAGAATATGTCATTATCACATAAGTTTATTTAAATAAATTAAAATGCTAAGCTTGATTAAAACTATATATTTTTTTGAATTTTTTCTCAAATTTATTACTTGCTATTTTTGATCATATTGTGAATTCCAATATAACAAAAATGCTTCTATTCTGCGAAATAATTTGAAAGTTAATTTCTGCCTGATCAGCAGCATACGTAGAGGTAGCGCACAGAAATGCAGCACCAGCAAGATGTAATTTCAAGTCAGACCACACGAGTTCAGAAGAGACCTTTGGCACGCAGCCATAAGATCCAAAACAAACGTCAGATTCAAGAAAGATCATGTTTGCATTTTATAAAACTGTGTCAAAATTGTATTTGTTTAGCAACAGAGAAAATTAATAGTTGCAATATGACTGTTGAAAGGTAAATACAGACTTTAAAAGATCACATCGCACTGAAGATCATGGTGTTTCCTTTAGGATAGAGTTGCTGTTGTAGGAGGTGGAGCCTGCATATTCACACGTACGCACATCTGGTGCCCAGTCGTTGAACCCCAACGTTCATATAGGCTTATTCAATAATCATATATTAAAAAAAAAAAATATTTGAATGGCAAACCACATAAATAAATGTATTATATGTGGGCTACTTTCAGTTGGGTGTAAAAAACACAGTATTGTTAAATTTATGCAATACATTTTTAATCAATCTATTTTAAGAAAGGGGTTTGTCTAGGTTGCTTTGGAATAAAACTAAAGTAGTAGCCTAATCCTGAAGTATACATAAACTGTTTTTATCAAAAGTGGCTATTTTAAACTTTCACTAATTAAATACATCTAATTCAAACATGGGCTAGTTATTGCAACATTTGGGTGAATGTGATCACTAATTTGTAAGCCTTTCTTTTTTAAATTTTGATTATTTTGTTTAGTTTTTTCCTTACTCTATATGAAAATAAAATATTTAGACATCTACTTATCAGGCAGGGCATGTTGTGTTACTTTTGCCAGGGAAGCAAGGTTATAATCTACTCCTTGTTTCTGTTAATTCTGTTGTTTTATGTATTTATTTCCTCCCCCACCCATCCCCGCCCCCCCCTTGTTGCAGGTAAAGTTGCCATAGGTCTGAGAAAGTAGCCATAACCCTCCCACAGTGGGGTGTGTGTGTATCGGTGTGTTTTCCTTTTTTTTGCTGCTGCGCTCTGGGTTGGTTTCTATTCAAATGTGGGTCAGGGGTGAGGAAGCCTAACGTCATAAGCTTGCAACATGGCGTCCCGAAGGCTGTGAGATGAGCAGGAGGATGGTGAAGAACGCCTGAGAACGGACCTACAGATGTAAAAAGGTATATTTTTCAAGTGTTACTCCTCTAGAAGGTGGTTTAGGAGTGGATAAACGGGGCTACTTTGGTGCGTTTATGTTTGGATCGGCTGCAGGAGTCGCAGGGGTGTTTCCCCCTCTTCTGCGGCGTGCCAACAAAAAGAGGGGCTCTTCTGCTGCTGGTTGTGCAGGCTCTACCAGGCTGCTTGGGCAAAGCTGTGAAATCCCACCCTTGGTTTTGCAACCATGTTCACCTTGAGTCCTGATGTTTAATCGCAGAGCGGATCGATTACACAATATCGTTTATTTTCGCGTCTTTCCACGAGAGATGCCCCATAGGACGTCTATGTACAGCAGATAATTACTGTGCTGGTTGGCAGAGCGCATCACCGACAAAAGAAAGGCTATCCCATAGAAAATCTTCCAGACTAAACATATTTCTCTAATTTATAAACTGCGACACTAGAAGGAAAAAAATCAGGATGGCATATGTGATCAATTAAAGTAATTGTTTTTGACAAAATCGCATCAATTTCACGGATCCTTTTGCAAAATGGAATTAAACCCCCCACCCCCCGCGATTTTACGCACTGTTTTTGGGCACAGTTACAACCTAATCACGTGTAAGTGTTGCAATGTTTATATGTAGGTTAAGCCATCTTCGTCTTAGGTAGGGCCAATTAACAGGATTGGCGTGCGTGTGCGTTCAGCATCACGTACAACTTATAGTATGAGGAATCTGATTAAAATCGTTTGCTCATTAGACAGATGTGTTTTTTTTTTTGATTGCACTATATAGCTTGGGTTATTCATTCCGTGAGTGTAACGTTACACTGACGCAGAAACTGCAGTGGTTTGTGGAAACAGTTGCGCATGACTTGGATTTCCGCGTGTAAACAGAATCCTTTAGTCCAAATCTGATCAGTGCGTGCCTCGTATGTTAGATTTATATATATTTTTTAATATAATTTTAAATCATTGTTTAGGCCATGCAGATTCCAACAATGTATGTGCTCAGGTGTAAACTGAAGGCAGCTTTGCTCCCAAGGTGATCAGTGTCTAAGTACCAAGGGGCATGGCGATAATAAGGCACAGGAATGTCAGATATGTATGCTTGCCTTGAGTGGCTGCTGTTTTTCTATCTTGGCGCTTTAAAAATTTCCAACTTAGGTCTACTTTTTGCTTTTGATTTCTGCTTTAAATGAGCCTTGGTTTTTAAATGTTATGAAAAGTGTAGAATGCTATGATCTCTTTTTATTCTTATTTTTTATCTTTATTATATTGTGTAGTTGGATGTGTGTATATATTATATTAAAACTGTAACTGGAGCATGTAACAAAAGTAATTTCCCTCTGGGATTATTAAAGTATTTCTGATTCTGATCTGATTCTGATTGACTAAACACCAGATTTTCCATAAAATGGAAATTTAAATAATATTTCATGTTTGTCAGAGTTTCTGTTTGTCATGTGCCCCATTTTGTGTGTAGAATTTTTTTGTTTCTGAGCAATACAAAGTTTTATCTTTCATTTCAACTAGACAAGAGCCTGGCTCTAATGCACTTTTGAGTGACGCAGCTCTAATATTGCAATTATATGCATTATTTAGGCTTTTATTCACCAACTTATGCCAAAGCTTATATATATATATATATATATATATATATATATATATATATATATATATATATATATATATATATATATATATATATACCCCCCAACAATAGGAGAAAAACAATTAAAATTTAAGTCAGGGTATCTGCTTAACCTTTTAAAAGGCATGATACTCAAGACTTTCCAGCTGTTATTGTGTTTTTGGCATGGGTGCTTCTTTAGCTATCTTCTCCATAACTGACCACATCTTCTGTATTTGGTAATATTCCATGAGAGGTTGATTGTTATTTTCCCTTGTTTCCTTATGAAGGAAAACATGGAGGCCTTCACTCAGCCAGCTGACTGGCAGTAACAGGTGGGGGAGGGGCAACCTTGTGCCACTCTATGTCTAGATTGGGAGAAAACCCTGATCAATGCATGATGATCTCTGGGCTCTCATCAAAAAGACTTTAAACCTTATCAATTCTGTGTTAAAATTAAACTGTTTTATGAGCTATAACTTATTGAAACCATAGTCTATCTTGATTAATGTAAATGATTCAGGGCCTGAACAGACACAATGCAGCTTAAAGGAATAGTACACCCAAAACATGATTAGCCTTCATTTTCTATTCACCCCCATGCTGAACAACACTCTGGAGTACTTTTTTGAGATCTCAAATGCATCTGGAGATCTGGGAGGCTTCTTACTGTCTGCTGACATTCAAATAATGGAGGTCTACGGTGCCCGAGGCAGAAAGGTCCATAAAAGTCCACAAAAAACGTGTCAATATTCCTCCATACTGCTCGTCCAATGTATTCCAAGTGTCCTGAGTGGGTAGCATCCATAATTTACTAGACACGAAGTCATTTAGAATGTTTTTAGAGCATAAACAGTAGTGTATAGGATTTCCTAAAAGCGCGTGCCTGCGAGTTCACGAGCCTACGGAAACCGCGGCAGACCAAACCAGATGAAAGTGCACATTCAGCTCGGCAAAGAACTCATGCTCTTCCTCAACACTGAAGTCCTCAGACATTTTTCTTTCGTTGTTTCTTTCTTTGCACAGGTAAACAGCAAAGTTCTTCTTCTACGCTTGCATTATCAAGAGCAGACGCTGAATGCGCACTTTCATCTGGTTTGGTCTGCCGCAGTTTCCGTAGGCTTGTGAACTCGCAGGCGCGCACTTTCAGGAAATCCTATACACTACTATTTATGCTCTAAAAACATTCTAAATGACTTCGTTTCGAGTAAATTATGGACGCTACCAACTCAGGACACTTGGAATACATTGGACGAGCAGTATGGAGGAATATTGACACGTTTTTTGTGGACTTTTATGGACCTTTCTGCCTCGGGCGCCATAGACCTCCATTATTTGAATGTCAGCAGACAGCAAGAAGCCTCCCAGATCTCCGGATGCATTTGAGATCTCAAAAAAGTACTCCAGAGTGTTGTTCAGCATGGGGGTGAGTAGAAATTGAAGGCTAATCATGTTTTGGGTGTACTATTCCTTTAACAACTAAAGCTTTAAAGCAGTATTGCCTAAGTACATAAGGCATGTGTAGGTTTCATGTCTTGCATCACTGGAAATACTTCAATCAAATGTTTCTTTCTGGTAAATTAAGCAAATTATACATGCTCCTTTTCTGACTTTTAAAAAGCGGTGTACATCAGCATACAGAAGAGGTGCACTGCTGCTCTGGTGCTTCAGACTCTTCAGACTCTCTCTTGCAGACATTTCATCAAAATGCTGTTAAACCTTTGGAGTGATTTGGCAAACTTTAGCTATCTGTTTTGAAGCCTTAGTGTTTCTTCATGCCAGAAATCAACCAATTCATATTTTTATTAACATTCCATTAATGCCATAACCTGTAATATGAGGAAGAATTTTTGTTGGTCACACCCAGTCAGAGGAGCGATTGAAATTATGAGTTGTTTATGCTGTTAGCCTGAGAAAACGGTTTTGATCATGTTTTTTAATAGGTTTCAAGGTTAGCGACATGTTCCGAAGTCAGTATTAGATGTATGTAAAACCTGTTTTGAGGGATACTTTTACGCAGATCTTTAAAAGGCTGTAAGCAGTTATCTTTAGCGTATGTTTATTGCCCAGCCATTTTACCACCCACTGCAGTTGCAGTCAGATAATTGAGTGACCTCAGAGTGAGGGTCAAAACCATTAATCCAGGCCCTCAAAATGACCAAGTCAACTGATCAGTGTGACATGTTTCATTGATTACAGTATGGAAAACAAATTCTGACCCGGCAGGGTAATGTGAGGCCTGTGTGTTTGTGTCCCTCATATGATCCTCATGATCACCACACTCTTCATATCCCCTCCTCTCCTCAACATGCGCTCAGCATCCTGCGTGTTCAATGCAATCATGGCTTACCATGGCATGTGTGGGCAGCACAACACTGTAAGAAGGCTGCTTAGGCTATGTGTTCTGCTGACATGTTGGACGAGGACTTATAGATTGTAGATGCTCTGCTTTGGCTGTTCATGGACAGTGCTGTTTGTTCAGTAAATGTAAACACCTCAGGGAAGGGTTATTGTTCTGCTTGAGGAAAAAGAATGTGGAATGAAGCGCTGATAACCAGAAGGTTATGCACTATCAAAAAGTTGGAAGTAAACAGCTCTCTGTCTGCCGTCTGCCCTTAGTCCAACCAGATGTCATCGGGTTGTGTGTGGCTGTAGTTTCTTTCTCCAAGCCAGCAATGTAAAAGGGAAAGTCTTATCTCATCAAGGTAATTCTTTTCAGAAAGAGGACCCCCTTATACAATCATATCTTCAGTTCTCAGTGAGGTAGTTGATTACCTCACTGTTCTGTGAGGACACACATTGATACTCAGCAGGCCTGTCTGTGAGTTTGGCAAAGCTTTCAGTATCATTTTAGCAAAAGGTCTCCTTGAGTGAGCCACAAATGCAAAGCTGGTTTGATAATGAAGAGCAGAGACTCGTTTGTAATCCGTTTTACAACCTTTGGTGGTTTTTAAAAAAGGTAGTGAAGCTGAACCATTTCCAGTGTTTGTTTTATATCAGCTAATTCTTAGCTCGAAGGAAACCATAAGTAAAGGCTATAAATTTACCGAAGAATTTCAATATGAAATCACCAAACAGCATTTAAAATATACTTTTATGGCGAGAGAAGAATCATTGCAAAGAAAAGTCAAAAGGATAGCAGATCCCATATTTCTTGGTGGTGAACACAGCTGAACTACTAACTGTAAACAAAATCCCTCTGTCTGTAATTGTTTCAGTGTTTAGCTTTAACACAAAGACTGATAACTTTTTAAACCTATTTTATAAAAAATTCAAATACAACCTGTTGTACCTGCGGCAGCACCTTTTGAACAACCAGCTGAAAAGGATTCACTTTCATTCTTTAACACTTGGAAGTAGCTTGTGCATCAAAGAGTAGCTTGCAAACG